TATGAATCAAAAAAATGTAAAAAAAAAAAGAATATTACAAGAAATTTTCTAAAAAAAAAAGAATGACACTTTGTCAATGTCAAAATGTACTGTACAGCAATAGTAATTGTTAAATTGTAGTAGTCATCATGTTATTGATCCACTAACAGGCAAATGTATCAATGGAAAGGAATAGAGTCTTGGAGCAGATAGGTTTATTATAGAGAAAAGGTGGTATTTCAAATTAGTGCAAAAACGATGAACTATTGAATAAATGGTGCTTAGGGCAGCTGGCTCTCCATCTGGAAAAGAATACCCTATTTCACACTATAAATTGAAACAAATCCCAGAGGATTATTGAATTAAACCTAACACACACATACAGTTATATAAAATGCTGTATTTGAAAAAAATAGAGTAAATAATTGATTAGAAATTGCTCTCGAGCAAAACTCAACATAAGGACACCACTAAGGAAAAGATAGATGAATCTGATTATGTTTTTAAAATATCCACATGAAAAGATACCTTAACCAATATTAGCAGGGAAAAGGCAGAGTCAGTAAATATCTCAGTAACTATAGAGATACAAAAAAGAGAGAGAGAAAAAGAGAGGGAGACAGGGAAGGAGGGAAGCAGAAGGAAAGAAAGCAGACAACCTAAATGTCCATCATAGAGGAAATATTACATAAACTGCAGAATATCCATAATATGGACATTTATGCAACTATTAAATAGAATGAGGTTTATATGTACTGATAAGCTACTATTTATTAGCATAATGAGGAGAGAAAACAAGTTGTAAGAGTACATACTGTACGGTTCAATGTCAGTTTGCTTCTGTTCATACATAGCAAACCACTCAGTTGCTTAAAACAAAACCATCTATCTAGTTCAAAATTTTGTAGAACAGTAATTTGGGCTGGGCTTAACTGGGCAGTTGTTATGGTTTGGGCTGGGTTCAGTTCATTAGGTGAGCTCATTTAGGTATTTGCATTCATCTAGTAAACAGAGTGAAGTGTCTGGGAAATTTTTCCCTGTAGTCTCTCATTCTCTGGGTGACTAGTCCAGGCTGGTTTCAGAGCTCTAAGACATTGAAAATAAAAGCTACTAGACCTCTTGGCCCTGGATTTGAAACTGATACAACATGACTTCTGCATTATTGGTCACAGCAAGTCACATGGCTAGCCAGATTCAAGGGGTGGGGAAATTAACTCCATCTGTCATGAGAGGCGCTGAAAAGCTGTATGGCCAATTTTGAAATCTACCAATCTCAACTTCAGTTCAAGTTTATTCAAAATTGTGCATGTAGTTCCAAA